CACAGTTCTTTTCTTTTAAAATTAACTTCAAAAGAATTATAGAGAGAAAAGCCCAAACCTCATACAAAACTGTGAGGATGCTCTGAAGTGACGCGAGGCTGTGGCCTGCGGATGTGCGCATGAGCGCGGGAACCGTCCCCAGCCCTGGATGGGAGGCAGCCCTGCCTGGCAGGTAGAAAGGGGCAGCCAGTGTCTGCGAGAGCCTCTTCCCGCCACCGGGTACTGATGACAGCAGCTGTGCACAAGCATGGTGACTCATGCCTCTCAGGGTTAGGAGACTCAGAATCACATTCGGGTTGTTTGTCCCACCCGTGGCTACACTGAATTCCACAGGTTTCCAAGTCTATCCCAGAAAGAAAAAGAATGTGGAAAGATGTGTGTGGAAAGTTTGTTCTCAGGAAGCAGGCAGAGGTTGGCTACTTCCACTATGAGTATCACCACACGGTCACGCCTTGCCAACTCCAAAGCCGCATAATATTCTACAGCTGTAGGTGCGGAGGAAGGGAGTTATCCAGAGAGCCAGCCGGCCTCTGCTGCACTCCCCACTCCAGTCCAGTCTTTGAAACTTGTTTTTCCTTTTAAAATTTTAGCCTTTCTATCTGGCTGGTAGAATCAAATATATTATACATTTATTTGGCTTGTTAGTTTTCTAGCACTATTAAACTAAACTAAGAGAGATATATCTTCTACATAATTATGAGACAACCTCCCAAACACAGTAAAACTAATACAAAGAAAATAAGAAGAAATCATGTTGAGTAATAAAATGCTCTTCACAAAGGGTTATGTGCTGTAGGATTCCATTTACATGCCATTCTTAAGATGACTGAATTCTGGAGGGGGTGGGGCAGGTGAGTAGCTGTCAGAGTTTGTGGTGAAGGAAAAGAGGGAGGAAGATGTATATTAAAAGGACAGCCCAGGGAGCCCAATGGAGACAGGCCTGTTCTGTGACTTGACAAACCTACCATGTCAGAAAATTGTACACAAGGGCCGACCAAATAGTTCATTGAATTAAAACACTTGCAAGCAGATGCACAGGTGGGGGTGTTGAATACCTGGGCCTGCCATGCCGGGCCTACCCCAGGGGGATGCTGAGATGGCAACTGAGGCTGGGCATGGTAGGCGCGTCTGTAATCCCAGCTCTTGGGAGGCTGTAAACAGGCGGATCACTATGAGTCTGATCTAGTAGTGAGGCCCTGAACACCCTGTAGACCCTACCCTAAAAAA